GGGGGGGGGGGGGGGGGGCGTTTAGGAGTCGGGGGGCGATCTATGTATGCCGTTTGTGTATCCTCTCGTCTATGAAAAAACAGGACAGGCCAGGTCAGCTTTCCTTGTGGTATTGGTAGTGGTGGGTTGTCGTGGTTTCATTTCTTGTGTGGGTACGTGGGTTCCCGATACAACGAGTGTAGATCGTTCTAATGTCAGGTGCCAAACGACCCTCGGCGTCGTTGATTGTGTTGTTCTGTTTTAAGTATCATATCTGCCCTCGTTGGTATGACAGCAGTCGTTGGTATGACAGCAGGCAACAAACGACGCGCAACACAAGTATGCATCTATCTGCATATGGTAAACCAGAGTGTAGTAAGGAGAACTGCGCACACTCGCACCAGTGGCGATTCAGCGTAAGGCACTTGTCTCTGTCTACGCTTGTGACGAGGTGGCTTACATCCAAGTTGCGAGCCACCGAAGTTGTTGACCTGTCTCTCCTAACACACGACGTTCGACTCGTGCGTGTAGAAGACATGATCAATGCTTCGAATAATATTGCAGCAGTGGAGCAGCTGCTTTAAAAAAGGGGGTGCTGCCGCGCCCTTGCCGCCAGGCAGTACATGACGTACGACATGAGGTGCGTGGCATCCACACCCTCGATAGTCTCGGGGGAGCCTGACAAGCACGCTGTGACAGCTGGCCAACCCTCTGCTGCTGCACCATCCTCCACTCGCCACACGGGCCGAAGCGACCATCCTACATCCTACTCTGGTCTCCAAAAGCGGCCCCGAACAGCCCGCCGTTTAAAAAAATGTTGCCTTTTGCAACACAGAGACCGGTCCAGTCGCATGCTCGAACTTTGTCATTTTTGGGGACCTCTCTCCCACTCCTCTCTGTCACTCCCACGCCCTCTTTCCTTCGGTTGGGATGGGAGTCAATTCGCTCTCCCGCTTGTCTAAAAGCGTGGCGTCGGTCAGGATTGATCTTGAAAACGGACAAGGCAAACATCATGTCATCGTCGACGGCGGGTTCCTAAATCACCGCATGTGTTTGAGGGGGGTAGCGGCGGCAAATTTACTTCTCAACAACGACGTCTCCCGTCAAGTAGAGGAGTGTGCCCGAGATATGAAGCTCTTTGAAGACCGCAATTTCCTAGTGACGGTAGTGTTCGACGGTCGGCCGCCTCCGGCCAAGAGTGGGACATCTCAACACCGACGAGAAAGGAGGCAGAAGAGTGCACAACAGGCGCGCGCTCTACACGACGCCGGTGGCTGTCCCGTGGAGATCAACAAGTTGGCCAGCGCTGCTTGTGCTTTCGACGGTCGAGTTACCGCTGAGATCGCAACGCGCTTGAGAGCCCGTATCAGGGGGGAGGTTTACATCGCCCCAGGCAAAGCAGATCCACAGCTTGTAGTTTTCCAGGACATCCATCTCGCAACAGGGGCGAACGTGTACGTGTATGCCAATGACTCCGACTTAACAGTTCTTGGGGTACGGGATCGTTTGGTGGAAGTGGTCAAGAACGCGAGAGGAGAGCTTGTCGGCAGATCCGTCCGGCAGAGGCTGCTCTTCCAACCCACCGCATGGTCCTTCCTCCGGAGCGGGGATGCTCATGGTTGGCTGCGCCAGCTGCACGGGATACACCAGCCAGTTGACGAGGGCTTAGACTACACGCCTCTACCGGAACCGACCGGCCGCCGCCGCCTTCTCTTGTTCGCCGTTATCGTAGGCAACGACTTCGCGAAATTCAAAAATGTCGGACCAGTTACTGCTGCAAGGCTTGCTTTCGTTGACACCGAAAGCGGTGTCTGGGCGGCATCTTTGCTGCCATTCGATGCGGTTGTGGGAGACCTGGCCTCAAGGCTGCTGGTGGAGTCCAGGGAGGAGGACACGCCTGCTGCGCGGCGTGAGTTTGAGGTCCGACTGCGCGCCTGCCACACCATGTTTACACAGCCCGTGGTGTGGAACCCGCTGAGCGGCGAACTCCAACATTTGTCCGGCGCCCCGACCAGGGAGGAAATCACCCGCCATACAGGTCAGTGTTCCGCGTTTTTGTGTGTGTAAGAATGCTCCTCGTACCTAAGACTAGCTTTTGGTTGATGTTTCCCGACGTCACCCTACTTGTAGTCGGGCGCCAGCAGTGAGACCTTACACACAAGTAAAATGTGTCCTTTACACTGGAGTCTGCGTGCAGCAAGGAGGTCTGATGTACCTTCAAACATGCTTTCTACAAAGTAGATTTGCAGGTAAACCCACCAATGACCTCGGTCGGGCTTTGCTCGTCCCGTGATTACACGGCTCCCGCTGTACTGCATACTGAAGCAGATACATTTAGTGACGGCGTTGCATATACTATCGCCTGAACTCCCTTCACTGTCATGCTCGCATCCTGCACGTACAGGGACGTTGGAGCTATCCCCGCTGGCGTCCCGTGTGGCCCGGGGAGATGTCTGTCCGCTGACCGGGCGCGAATGGGACCCACCGCTGGGTACAGCACCAACGAAGGGGCAGGCGGTAGGCGAGGATGCTGGCAGGCAGAAGAAAGGGCAACACTCGAGACGGCTAGCACTCGCCCCCCGAATGCTAGCAGCAGGGCGTCTCGCGCTCGAGGTCCTCAAGACACAAACAACTACCGCGAGCACGGCTTCAGCAGACTCCCGGGGGAGACTGAAGATTACACCAAGTGGACCGTGCCTAAGCTTCGCGAGTTTGTAAGCGTGAGTAAAAGATGAGTTTTTAGCGACATTTTTTATAGAGAGCTACTGTCAGTAGGTTACTAGTCGGGGAGGGTAGTTACAGTTATGGCTGTGACAGAATATTTGGTCCATAGACTATTACTACTTCAAAATATATTTTGGGTAAAGAGTGCATCCTGTGTTGTAAACTTGGCGCTTCGTCATATTTCAGACTGCCGTTACTGGCTTCCGGGTGCGCCTGTCGACCATCCAGCAGCAGGTTGAGCGATGTACGCACACACGCTTACAAAAGAGACCACACACCACGTTCCGCTTTGCACACAGCGCACTGCGGCTGCTGTTAATAAGGTTCGGGGCGGATATCCCGATTGGTTTAAGAAGTACTGTATTTGAAATGGCCCCAAAATGGTACCCCACAAGTTATCACGAGTTGTGCGATTTTGGACTGTAGTTAAATTGTTCGCGTACGGTGGGCCACGCTTAGAGCAGATTAAGTACACCATTGGCGCCGGATATGTGCAATTCAGCCCCCCTCGCAGTCTGTTTACGGTAATGGTCACGTTGACCACAAGGTAGATATTGATGTGCGTCAACCACTTCGTTACAGCAGTCGTTCGAACACGGGATTATTGTGCGTAGGGTAACAACGAACCTAGAAGTTTTGGTTTCTTCGCGCTCTGTTCGAGGCAGCGGTGGGGTACGAGATGCACGGGGCAACTGCACGTGGAGATTGCAAATTGTAACCGAAGATATACATTGTTCTTCGCCTAAGATAAGCGGGTGGGTTTCGGTGTGCGTCATCAGCTAAGCGTGAACGTATATGCGCCCCACACGGTTGGGATTCTCCTCTTGTGTGCATTTCTGCCGTCAGGTTTATAGGTGTCTCGACAACGCCGGGACCAGTGGGTTCAACAAAGCACTCCTTGCTCAGATGGCTGGGGATGTGGTCAGGGTGATTAGGAGCTGCGGTGTGTTGGACACCAACTTGGCGTTTCGCCATCCCGTTCCGGACCTCAGCTCTTTTGAGGAAGAGGAGGCCAGGCTAATGCCGGATCTTCCTGCGACAGGGCTGCGCATAAAGGTGTGGTCCGCTATGCGGCGGTATCTCCCCGAGATATCGAAAGCCGTCATCTTACGGTTCATGGGAGAAGTGAACAAACTCGCCGGCGAGGGCTCGCGGCTCTGGTATAGATCGCTGCAGCGGTGTTGGACATGGGGAACCTCAGCAGGTTTTGGGCCGTTCCGGCAGCGGGGGGCATTATGTGGATTGGGACTAGGTGAGGCGCACGATATGCACCCCGCCTGGAAGGAGGATAGGCATATACTGCTTCGCGTTGCCGTCATATTGTTTCCGGTGTGTGTTCTAACGTTGTTATGTTTTGATGTTCGG